AATCGAAGCGTCACCACACGCAGACAGCTCCCCGCTCCCCTAGGCCAGGGGAGACCTAAAACGAAATCTCCTCCGGGAGACCAACCGATCCCCTAAGCCGAACGAATCGCTCAGGATAAACACGGAGACATAGGCAGGAAGCGAAGGGACGCCCCATGTGGGCCATGCCGACTCCGTCGCGAGCGACGAGCGCGGGTCCCGGTCGGACGTTTCCGACTGAAGCTCTCCGAGCCCCATCACTCCAGTCGTCAAGGTAAATGTCACCAAAACCCCCTCTATTTCTTTATAAATCATTCATAAATCCATACGCGCATTCATTTCATATGCCTGAACCCCCGGACGGTTAGGGCATGAACCGCCCAGGGGCTCGGGAACTAAGCATCGCACGTGCAGCGAAATGCACCAGAACGCTCTGTGTTGCGTCACGAAGCAGCGGTTGCCTCATTCAACATAGGCAGCCAACAGAGCCAGGGGAGAATACCATAGATGAGCACCGTGCGGCCCTAGCCTGGTCCGATAGACCGGGTCATCTCAGCCTTCTCATTCGATCCTAAACCTCTCGCCCGGCCCGCAGAATCCCCATCGAGGGGCGACCGTTAGGCCACCTGGGTTAATCTCCGGAACGACCTAGGCATCTGTCGGGTTGCAGGTAAAGGAGTAGTGGAATGTCACAAGAGGGCTATGCTGACCCCGTCACGAACGACGGACCCGGATTCCACTCGATCACAACCGTTAGCGAACTCACCGAGCTAGTCTTCGAGCCCGAGCGATCGGGACAGGTGACGAAACTCAGCCCCTCCGGTTGTGAGGAACCGAGAATGGGGTAACGCACAATACTCACATTGACCCCCACAAAAGACCCACTAGGGCTCGGGGGCTCAAGATAAAGACACCAAGGACGGCGACCTCGAACTCGCCAGATCCATGACTCCGAATCGCCCGGTCCCGCGGCGCGCACCGACGCCAGGATCCGCGAGCATCGTCTCATCTGATCTTTAACCAAACTAACTATGCTTCGGCTTCAAAACGGCTTCACTTCCGACTGCGCTCCAAAAAACCTTGGGACCGCGACTCCGAACTCGCGTCGACAGGATCTATGACATCCGGCTACGGCTCTTGGGACTGCGACCCCGAACTCGCGTCGATAGGATCTAGGACATCCGGCTATGGCTCCTGGGACCGCGACTCCTAAACTCGCGTAACGGCTTCACTGCGCTCCAGTAAAACCTGGGACCGTGACTCCTAAACTCGTGTAACGGCTTCACTTCCGACTGCTCTCCCAGGATCCGCGAGCTCCGGCTCGTACGATTCCTGAACTACCTAAACTAACTCTCTCACGGCGTGCACCGACGCCTGGGTCCGTTCGTGGCTCCGCCTCGCCTGATCCCATAGCGCGCATCGACGCCAAAGATCAGTAAGCTCTGTCGCATCCGAACCAGGCTATCTCCATCCGTGGCGCGCACCGACGCCAGGGTTTTTTCTTGTACCAAACTAACCTTCTCACCCAATCCGCAACGAGCACCGACGCCAGGATCAGTAAGTTCTGTCTCATCTCCGCGCCTAAAAACCACCTCGGCTGCGCAACGACACCACGGCTAAACAAAGTTCCATCTCAAACTAAAAACACTGACACACGCCCGGTGAAACAAACACCCCCTGACAGTTTGGCCCAAACCACCCGGGGGCTACACCCGTGGGTGCGCTCGCGCGCACCCGCCGAGACAACGCGAAAACCTCTCCCGCAGACAACACAGAAAACCGCCCAGTCGGTTCTGCCCGAACCGCCCGGGGGCTACACCCGCGGGTGCGCTCGCGTGCACCCGCCGGCAAGACAAAAATCCCCCGGACGATTCGGCTCAAATCGTCCGGGGGCTCAGGGGCTCCTGTCGGGTTCATAAACCCGGGGTCCCTCGGGGACCGGCTTTCACGCCAGGGCTCAGCCCCAGAAAACAGCATGCAGTCCATGGGCCGGCCCGAAAGTCTAGAAAACAACGGGCCGGGAGGCCTACCCGAAAGGGCAAATGCCCGCTCATTCGACTTCTTCGGCCCACCTCTCCGACAGGAGCGCTCGCTTCGGGCACCGGCCGCCTTCAGGCGGTCCCTCCGATTGGAAGGCCTGACCCAAAACGCTGCTTCCTACTCCGACCCCGCGACTCCGACCGGGGACCCGTAGGAAGCCTGCGTACCGCTCGTCTCCGACTGGCGCGGCCTGGGCCGACTGGAGCCATCCGACTAGGGACGCCCGCTCGGAAGGGACCAGGGGCGAACGGAGAAGACAGCGCACTAAGTCAAACCACGATACTGGGACCATACCCTGTACGCCTGCGGAAACAGTGCTCCACGACCGCCCTGACACAAACAGTATTGTAGGCGACGACATTTGTGTCTACAGTATTGTGGGCACGGTTGGGCTCCCATACGGCAAAAGGCCCCCCCATGCCTCTGGGCATCGATAAGGGGCGCCAGGATCCACTATACCTGGTACACGTGGTGAGGCTCCTCACATAGCAATAGTATTTTGCAGGTACCGATGTCCACCCTTCCTGAAGAAGCCACCACAACCTCCCACATGCACCTGACATTCTACAGTGACGTCAACAGTATTGTGGGTGCCTACCATCATCGCTACCCTCGTCGGCGTGGGCAACAAGGCTTAGAAACATCCGTACTCTCTCCCTCTCACCTGTAAAGCCATCCCCTTTATTTATAAAAGGGGATGTGCTCCCTCCAAACAGAGGAGGATGATTCTTCTTCAAGTTTAGATTCACTAGATCGATAACCGGGAACCCCTCAAGCACACGCTTGAACACATAGCTCATAGCGGAGTTCCGGTCGCCCTCGGCCCTTCCGGTCGGACCCGACCGGGCCTCTCGTACACTCCCTCTTTTCTCCTTCTCGTTTGTAACCTCACTACAGACTTTGAGCACCTGGGCTCAGGAATAAAGTCACTGACCGAGCCAGACTGAACGTAGGGCACGTTGCCTGAACCACTATATATCCTGCGTCATTGAGTGCTAGGCCACCTCCGATCACAACGTACGGCAAAACTACAAATATTCACTAGTTGGTCACTTTCTGTACCGACACATATATTTGCAACGTAGGGGAGGGGGAGCGCCTATGCCGGTCAATTTTGGTCGCCGGGGTGGGAGTCGGCGGTGAGTGGCGGCGCGCACGAGCACCACCGCCACAAGCGCCACTAGCACTGGGCTTGGGTCGGCCGGGCAGGCGGCGCGTGCGACGGGTGGAGCGATCATCGCCAGCACTAGCGCATGCACGACAGGAGTATATAGAGAAGAGGGATGACCAAGAATATACAAACACTAAAGAGAAGAGCCTGATGATCGGACCAATACAAATACAAGTAGATGTCAACACTAGAGCCTGGTCAAGAATACTGTTAATTAAAGCATCAGAATATATAGATAGATGTCCCCAAACTAATAATATATATAATAATGCAGCTCGATCGATGAATATAATTACATGTTTCAGTTGTCGACGGGCAAGGAAAAAAGAAAGGTTCTTACAATTTCATACACTTCGTGGAGAAAACGGTGGAGGGAAGCTTGCCTAGAGACATTTGGTTTTTTTTTATAACAGAGAAATTTGGGTTGAGTATCGAATTCCAGCACACACAGCCTCTCAACTAGCATTAAGCAATGTCTTCGACTCCAAGGTGAAATATATGCTGCTGGTGTCTTCTTACTACAAATAGGAAACCACAGCTCTTTCTGGTCTTGTGGAATCCCACGTAGGAGAGCATAGCCCTCGGCTGCTCCAGCAAGGCACAGATGGAAGCCAGGCATTAGGATTGAACTGTCGGCGCGACGATTAAAGTCCCAAATATGCAATTTCCTCCCAGGCTCCACAGCCATCCTAAACATCCCAATGCTTTCGTGTGGGAGGTCAGCGATGGAGAATTTCATATCACGCGTGTCAAGCACAAGCATGACGTTTGCAGCTTTATGCGACCAGCAGACGCCGCAGCCGTGGCCGTGCACGTACTGGCGACACCACGTACAATGACCAAGGTAAATCCGTGCTTCGACTGCTAAAAGACGCGCCGCGTCGCCATTGCCCTCTGGCTGAAGACAAGACGAAGGCCACCACCTCCGTTTTGGACAGACCAGTGCACATCACCTGGAACCGGAGCGGCGGCGACGACGACTCATCGTCGACGACGGCCGGCGCGGCGAAGGGATCACCGAATCTCATTGCCTCGTTATTGCCATCCTGCTTAGCAGATAGCAGCAGGTCGCCGGGGATGGTCGGGATCTGGACGTGCCGCCGGTTCAAGGGGTTGCAGACCGCAAGGTCAAAGTCCTCGAGCTCCAACATGTAGTTTCGATGAGGGCCCCCGGTGAGGAGGACACGGCCGTCGCGAGCGTAGCAGACGCGCCAGCGTTTGGGGTCAGGGAGGAAAGAGAAGGTGAAGTCGGCGGCTTTCGCGAAGACGCCGGCAGCCAGAGCGGAGCGCCGCGGCGGCTGGGTTGGGTAGAATATTCCAGTTTCGATGTGGCGATTGTTGTTGAGCAGCAACCCAAGGACGGGCCGGCGGTGGAGGGACCTGAAGCAGCGGAGAAAACGGCCGTCGAAGACGATGCGGCGGAAGGAAGTGCAGGCAGCGGAGGCGCGGGCGAGGTCGGCCGTGTCGTCGAGGCGGAGGAAGATCTCCAGGAGATCAACGGGGAGGTCGGACGCCATCGACCACGTCGGCGGCGGCGGCGGCGGCGCAGCTCTTGATAGATCGATGCAGCGGGTTTTAAGCAACGTCCATGTACATTATTTTGTGGGTGCAAAGCAGAATACATACCAAGGTTCGTAGCCGATAAGGACCCGCCTAAACCTCGGAAGGCTAGAGAGGAAGCGGATGATCACCAAAACTAAATAAAAATAAAAATCTTCATGGTCTGGTAATGAACTCAAAGCCGGCTTTCCGAGACTTGTCCTTCCTTCCTCATGGTCTGCAATGCGTGGGTTGGTGCATGATGTCCGCGATGGGCGTGTCCTCGTCGGACACAGGTACGGGCTTTCCGACAAGCTCGATATGGGGATGGAGCGCCGGCGCCGCTTCCGCCAGCTCCGGCACCTCCGCGAATGCTTGGACATCGCGGTGTGCGACCCCGTGTTCCAGCGATACCAGCTGCTGCCTCCCATGACTGACGACCTACTCGCCTCCGTCGGCCTCGATAACAAAAAAAAAAAAAGCACAATTCCTGCTGGGCCTCCTTGATCCCTTCTGGAGGAACGGAGGAGGAAACGTCGTTCAGCGTGATCTGCTGGATGTTTTCCAAGACAAGATTGGAGGTATTTATGTTCTCATCAACAAGGCCTGCTCGCTGGGCTGCCGTTAAATCTATCAGTTGGGCTGATCTAGGCTTGCCTAAAGAAATTGACGACTGCTTAAATGGTCCAGGCCAATGCGTCTATGGTTGCTTCTACTGGAAAGTATACTGCAGAAACGAGTTGCTCAAGCTTGACATGGACACTATGGAGTTCTCCAAGTATGACCTCCCTCCTGATCATGGCAACAGAACTATCGTCATTTTGGAGTCAGGGGAAGGCAAGGTTGCGATGTTTAGTACACTTGGTGAAGGGTCCGTGGAATATTACACCTTTATGGCAGAATGGAGCTGAAAAGTCCCATAAGTGGCATATGAAGAGTACCATCCCATCGCCTGTTCATGGTCCTAGTCATTTTTCTATTAGTGGTCAAGCTGAAGGATATGTTTTCCTAAACCACATTATATAAGAACAGGATAAAACATATTTACAGTATTTCTCTCTCGAGGTTAAGTCTTACAATATTGAGAAAGCCTGTAGGACAAGTGGTAGAATTATTTCCTCGCCGTATTTTGGTTTCCCACCATCTATGTCACCAAGGAGGATCCAATGACATGGAGAGGTACAGTAAGTCTTGGGACTTTTGTGGTTTCACAGACCTTCAAAATTATTATCGTGTGACTCTGATGCTGGAATAGCTTTATGTTTGTACAGCTAGCAATGATTGTGGGTTCATCCAAGTCTTAGATCTTTATGTTCACCACATAGTGCGCTTGCTATTGGACAATTTGCTTACATGAGAGACTTGCAGTCGGTTCATATTAGCATGATTTTCTTGTGCTAGTTTTCTTTGTTGTAGCAAAGGGGAAGCCCTTTCATGATCTGCGTGCTGTTTTGTACAGTTGTTGCCATGTGGGGGAGCCTTGTACTCTGAAAACCATTTTCATGGAGCACATCCCACAGTAGTCAACAAATCATGAATGAAATAGAAAAGGACAAGCGCTAAGGTTATCGTACTTTTGGACAATTGCTTCAAATTTAGAAGGGCTTGTATCCCAGTGAGGCTGTAATATTGTTGACATGTGTTTAGTCTGGGTACTATTTGTTGATTTCAGTTTCGCTAATGTGGACCTTATATCGGTTCACTCCCTGCCTCCTCTGCCTAAGCAAATGCTCTAAACATTAACTAATAAAGCTTTTTATCCGTTCATCACTTGGCATAGCTTTATGGAACTTCGTGGTTTCTAGACTTCTAGTGTTTGTACATGTGATTGTGACGGGCACGCCTAGTTGCTTTTAAAGTCACTAATTGTATTTATGATTCCTTAGAGCAACTCAGCTGACGAGTGGTGCTACCATATATAGTAGTGTTTCCCAAACAACATTGTCAGTGTATAAAAAGCAGATAGTCTTGTGAATATGTTTGCCGTAAAAATACTCGTTTATCAGCCTAAGCTCAGATACACAAACCTTTTGGTTGTTTCGGGTTTCTGCCTATTCTTCTGTTGGGATAACAATCATATTGTTGTAACATGATGCAAACTTAAACTGATGATGTGTATCTGTGTGTTTTCTACATTAGTGCTTCCTGCAATAAGATTGTTACCCAAACAGGCCCTAAATGCTTTTGTTTCATTCCGTGAAAGCCGTCTCTCTCTCTCCAGCAAATTACCTATCAGACTCTAAATTTGTTGGCGCAACAAATTCCATCCCCTTCCCACTAGCTACTTTTGTTGGCCCAACAAATCAGGCTACCTTTTTCTTCCATCCACGCGCCTCTCTCTGTCTCTCCTTTGTGGCCTGTCTTACCGACCGACGTCGTCTCCATGAGCAGGAGCCTTGCCGCCCCCCTTCCACTGCCGCTGCCGCCGTCCATGGGCCCGGCGAGGCCGGATTCGGCTGCCACCATCTCTCTCCAGCGCGGCGGCCTGCCCCCGACATGGCACCCCTCCCACCAGCGCTGCGGCACCTGCCCCGGCGCTGTGGCCTTGATCCGGCGCATGGCCTGCCCCCGGCGCGTGGCCTGCTCCCCGGTGCACGAATGTGGCATGAAGAACATCGAAGATGATGACATGTTCTCAACTAGGATTAGTTTTGGGTAGCCTGTTTTAAGTAGTAATGTGGAGTCACTACTACAAAAAAGAGGCGTTTACAAAATCCAACCGCCTCGGTTAATGCCTGACGATTAACGGAGGCGATCGTTTTATTTACCGAGGCACAAAAAAATGACCGCCTCGCAAAATTGATTTACGGAGGCGGTTGGAAAGTGCCTGCATCCGTAAATCGATTTACGGGGGCGGTCGTTTTAAGACAACCGCCTCAAAAAATAGTCTATTTTCGGAGGCGGTCGTCTTAAGGCGCCTGCCTCCGCAAATCCATTTTCGGAGGTGGGCGCACTATAAGGCCCGCCTCCAAAAATAGTGCCCAAGCAAAGCCCATTCTACCGGACTTGTATATAAGCGAGAGCTAGGGTTTTCCTCATTTCATTCCCCATAGCCGAGAGGCGCCCCCCGCTCTCACTCTCCTTCGTCCCTCACAGCAACGACACTCCTCCCTCTCCCCACAGCGCGCCCGCCCCCCTCCGCCTCCCCTCCTCTCCTTAACCCCAACGGGCGGCGGCGCCCCTCCCTCTCCTCTCCCCTCTCTCCCACGATGGCGCACGAGGCAGCACCCACCGGTGGCGGCGGCCCACGGGGTGGCCAACACCTGCAACGGCGGCGCACGGGGCGGCCACCACCTGCGCCCTCCTCCAAGCACGGCACGGTGACCCCTCCCTCTCCTCCGAGCATGGCGCTCCCTCCCTCTCCTCCGAGGACGGCGCCGCCTCCCTCTCCCCCGTGCAGTGGCGCCCGAGCCCGTAGCGGTTTGTGTTGACTTCATCAATTTTAAGGTATATATACGCTGATTTGATTTTTTAAAGATGCTATGCTTAATTGTTTATTTTATTATAGAGATATGACCATATTTATGCACCTATAATATGTATATAAATAAACAAACGTCCTGTATGTATTTTATAAAAAAGAAAAGCTCTGGACTTGACCACTCGGACTGCAAGTTCAGGCTCGTGATAAAATCCAATGAGAAACAAAGAACAAAAAAACCAACGCAAGGAGTCGTCGCCACACACGAAGCGTGTCCACGACACGAGTCCAGCCAGCCGCACCGGGATCGCGACCACCGACGGCGCAGATCATCGTGCCACGTAGGGACACGGTCCACGTAGGGAACCGTGGATCCGGGCCTCCAACCGGCCACCTGTAGCGGCGGGGGCCCAGATCCGGCCACAACCGAGTGGATCCAGCCACCGGCGGCTGTAGGGGCATGGATCCGGCCACGAGCAGTGGCAGCGCACGGGACTGGGCCCGGTGGGCTTTTTTATTTTGTGAAATTATTAACGGAGGCGGGCTACTTAACTCAACCGCCTCCGTCAATAGTATTAACTGAGGCGGACAAATCAATTGTCTCGGTAGGTCTAGATTAATCGAGACCTTTGGACGGAGGCCCGCCTCCGTTAATCCAAAAGGTCTGCCTCCAAAAAGTTTTTTCTAGTAGTGAGTACGGAGCAAAATATAGATAGTATGAAAATAGGTGGCTACCCAACCAGACAAATAGGTAGTCTGTTTTAGGTAGTATTGTTGGAGATGCTCTAACAAACATATAGTACCAAAAAATTACAAACTTTTGTGCTTGCCAGAACCAGCTGTGATAAACTAATCCTATCAGAATCCACTAACAAAACAAAAATATCGAATTTAGTATATTATAAATCTATCGGTGATAATGTAAAGACTTGTCGGGGACCAATACTAGGGTACTCAAAGAGGAGGAGCTAATGATCCTCAACATTGATTCATCCGCGTGATCAAGAACGTGACTATACCGCTTATCGGGCCCCGTCTCGCCCGACCCCCGAGGGTTGGCTCTGCCTCAGGCTAACTCCCGAGGGCTAGCTCCGCCTCACCCGACGTCTGAGGGCTAGCTCCGCCTCGCCCAACTTCCGAGGGCTGGCTCTGCCTTGCCCGACGTCCGAGGACCGGATCCGCCTCGCCCGACGTCCGAGGACCGGCTCCACCTCGCCCCCAAGGGTTGGCTCTACCTCAGGCTAACTCCCAAGGGCTGGCTCCGCCTCGCCCGATGTCTGAGGGCTGGCTCCGCCTCGCCTGACGTCCGAGGGTCGGCTCTGCCTCGCCCGACGTCCGAGGGCCAGCTCCACCTCACCTGACGTACGAGGGCAGGCTCCGCCTTGCCCGACGTCTGAGTGCTAGCTCCGCCTCACCCGATGTCCGAGGGCTGGCTCCGCCTCGTCTGACATCTGTGTGCGACTCCTTCATAACGACGCATGCAGATAAGGCAGGGCACTCAAGTCAACCGCAATACCGAGAACCATACCCTGCACACCTGCAGGGAAGTACCGTCAGGACATGACAGAAGGGCGCTTTGCGACCTTCTAGGCATGTCAGAGCCCGAACAATGTTGTAGGCGCTGACTTTTGCCTTATAATGTTGTGGGCGCCGTCATTTGCCCTCGGGCACGGATCCTTACGGGAGCTCACGACAACCACCACGGTCTAGAAGGAAACTCGTATCACCCACAGTGATCCACCACGTCACCCGCCGGGACGGGATGGGGCGTGACAACCCACTGACAATACTAGGACATGGCATCGTCAGCGAGCAGATACCCAGCGTGGCCCGGTCAGGGTTGGCGAACATGTGCCCGGCGTGGAGCTATCCCTGCCACCGCCTGCCATGTCAGCGGGGCCCGCATAGAGGAAAAGGAAGACCCGACGTCCTTGAAGGACTTCCTTTGCCTCTGGTTTTCCTCTTTTTCCCTATCTGTAATCCTTGCTCTCTCTTAGCCTATAAAAGGGAAAGCAGGGCACCCCACTAAATGGATCGATTCATCACATCACGCCACATAGTTGAGAAGCAACCAAGCTCTCAGCACCCATTTGACCTTTCCATTAGAGACTTGGGACCTGTCCCTCTCTCGCCCATTTGTAACCCCTACTATGAACTTTTCAGTGCTAATAACACGAGCAACAGCCACGAACTGGACGTAGGGACATTCTGCCAGAACCAGTATAAACCTTGTGTCTTTTAGTACAACATCCAGGTCAGACGCACAATAACACAAATTTACTCGTTGGTGTTTACTCGAAACACCGACAGTTGGCGCGCTAGGTAGGGGACTTTGCGTGTCCCAACATTAACATAAGGCCACGGATTGCTAATCACGGCATCAGCTGGGCCCCGGGCGCACACGTGCGCTTCGGGGACCTAGACTTCATCATCACGGTGGAGGGAGAACTGGCATGGGTGCCCATCGTTGTTCAACCCTTCCACTCCGCT